GGGGGGTTATTGCAGTCGGGACGTAGGGCCTGGCAACGTGAGGATAATACTGCACATGCATTTGGACTCTTCCTCGTCACAGTTCATTCATATTTCTTGACTTGTCCGAATGAACTTCTGAAAGCATATTTTTTTACTCGTCCGAACGAACCTCCCAATTTTTTTCTGAGTCATTTTAAAACCACTTAAAAACCATTAAAAAGTACAAAACTGGTCCAGGCCCTAGGATAGGAGAGGTTTCCTGTTATGAAAAGAGAAAAAAAAAAAAAAAAAGAAGACACTCTTCTATTTTTTTTTCCTGGGTAGCAAGGCGTGCGTGTACGTGGGTTGCGCGTACACGCGTACTCGTATTCTGTACGCGACACGTACTCCCGTACGTGTGAATACATAAAAAAAAGAAAAAACAAGAAAAAAAATCTATAAAAAAAAAAGTATAGTATGCAAAATCGTATTTCCAACAACTTTTGCCAGAGAGTCACCTCAAAATTCTGTACCGAACTCGAGTTAAAAATAAAAAACACAAAAAAAACAAATAAATTGAAATAATAATTAAAAAAAGAGCAAGGAAAAAACAAAAAAAAATGAACACAAAATCTGTAACAAAATATAAGTTATGCAGAATCTTGATACAACAACTTTTACCTGGGAGTCATCCCCAAATATCCAACCAAACTCGAGTAAAAAAGCAAAAACCAAACAAGAAGGCAATACTATATTTTCAAGTATTTTTTAAAATTTTTCCCTATACCCTTAAAGGATATAGCGGTCCCACTGACACACGCAGCCACGGGCCCACGAAAAACCACGGGATGGGCAGAACCAGAGGTGAGTCCTGTGTCTATTCGCACCCACAAGAATCCGCGGGACGAGCGAGGTCGCGTGTCGACCCGCGGGATCGTGGTCGGGCCCACCGTCGCGTGTGCCGAGGCGAAACGGCGTGGGGCATGTGGGAAAAAAGGTGCGGGGCGGCGTGCAGAGGGAAGAGGGGGCCCATAGGGAAAGCGCCACAGTGAAAGGGAATCCTGGAATCATGCATGGCGTGAGCATCGTGTGCTGGCTTGCGCATGCAAGGCGTGAGCGTCGTGCGTGTAAGAAGAAAGGAGGCGGGCGGAGGGAGCAGGGGGTATCGACTGCGAGGAGCACGAGTGAGATCGTGGAAGGCGTGGAGGGAATGAGAGCATGGGCAGCAAGGCAACTGAGATGGTGGAAGGTAGAGAGCGAAGGAGGGCACAGGCAGCGATGCTGGTTGGACACTTACCTGTTCTCTCTCCCTCTCTGTGTGTGTGTGTCTCTCTCTCTCTCTCACACACACACACACACAAAAAAAAAAAAAAAACATAAAAAAATGGCACTGTTCATTTCCATGTTTTAGCGGAAGATTCATTCCGATTTCGCCCGTCTTATCGATGGAAGTAACCTCTCTATCTCTCTGCGCGCATGGCTGGAAAGCAGTGTATATTTCCATATTCTACTCGAAGATTCATTCTGATATTGCTCATCCTGTCGACAGAAGTAGCCTCTCTCTATCTCTCCGCGGAATTCTCTCTCTCTCTCTCTCTCTCTCTCTCTCTCTCTCTCTCTCTC